AGGTTTGATCAATACAGGTTGAGCTTAGTCAGTGACATAGGGACTTAATATGGAAACATGGGACTGTTACCCTAGTGATGCGCAAGGTTTTCCATCTGATACCCATTGGAGAACTCTGAATAATGAGTAGGAAAGAGGAAGTTGAAGAACCAAGGTGTGTTGCTTAATATCCTAGAGTATCTTCTTCAGTCAGTTGCATGTTGGTCCAAAGGTTTTGTAGTATGCCTCGAATGTTTGAACTTTTGTTTTAACGTATTCAGGTAGTATGGTGCCACATCGTCTTTGTTCTTTCGGTGTGAATGCTCACACGTGGGTCGCCCCCTCGTTGTGCCATCAGTAAGCGCACTCTTAGACCCTGTTACCCCAGCCAGTTAACAGGTACATTTTGCACTATTGCCGCATATTAATTTTGGTTTTTCGCTTATTATAAAAATAAATTCTCACCAGGGCAAACTACCAAGTCACAAGCCTTTTACTTCGAGCCCGTTAATCGGTACTTACACGTTAGGTACAGTACTAATCGGGGTTAACCGAGGAAAGCAGGTTAGTAAAATCCGAAGGTAAACACTATCCATTGACAGATCTAAATATAATTTCACACAATCTATTGGCAATAAGTCAGCCTAGTAAAGTAATGAGGAACTAAGATTTAGCCACAATTCACGGCCCAGTGATGCAAGAGTTACAACTGTACATATATTTAAAAGGAATTTCTGCTGAAAGCAGTCTTGGAGAGCAGTGGTGTATTCACTGGTGCTGAATTAGGTGACTTGGAGTTTCTTGCTCGAAACATTTAGTAGACATCGTAACACCTGATATTTTTATGCAAAAAATGTATCGAAAGCTGTATACAAACAGTTTGGCTAATGAGATTCTGAAAGAGAATATCAATTGTGTGCTAATATTCATATTTTTGCTGGTAGAGTCAATCCTGCGACAAATAAGGGCCCCACACAGTTTTGAGGAGAAGGTATCATAGATGGAGAACGCCAGCATCTAGAAATATTCTTCATTTGTTCTATACATGACCAATTAGATAGGTTGCCCGAATGAATCCGACATCACTTCAACTCCATTAGAACCAGAAGTAACGCTAGTAGTTGCTGTGTGGCCATCTATCCAGCTGGACCTGATCTCTGGCCACACTACCTGCTGGTGTTTTAGCCTGGCCTACCTAAACTAGCGGATGACTGTAGATTGGAGTGATTCACATCTTTGAACATCACCATATATGCTATTCAGCATTCGCCAACCTCCCTTATTTTTGAGCTCTGAGATGTTTTACAGTAAACGCAGTTGTGGCATTGTATTGCTTTAAGCCCATCCCATTCACACGGCACAATGTACACTGATACCTTTCATGACAATGGGTCACTAGGCACATAGATACATTCGAAAATCTTTGGGAGTACTGCGTTCATATATGCATACATGCGTATAGATAGGTTATTACAAACGACTAGGAAATTATGTTTCTCTTAAAAATTAGGAAGCATAGAGGTAGTCAGTACTACAGCATAATAAGTTATAGTCTATTTAGCATAGCGAATGTGTTGTGAGACAATTAGTGATAAAATTATGTGGAATGATCCTGAGTAAAACAGATGGCTGACAGAATTTGTTGTGCTGAATTTTCACCACCAATTTTCATATAGTATGCGAAAGATATTGCAAAGTGACTCATCAACGTATAATATGAAAAAAACTACGAACTGTTCTACCATTGTGCATTTTAGAAAAGTATATGAAAATGGGTAGCCATTAACTGAAGATAATCATTTCTACACAAAATAGCGTATTATACAAATGACATATGTATATAGGCAAAATATTAAAAGGTGTGGTTGCTAATATAATTGTTTCTGGAAGTACTTACACCAGCTGAACTTATTGAAGATTATAGAGAATAGAAAGTCAGTAGACTAGCTAAACGTTCGCTGCCTAAGTAGCAGAGTTGATTTAGATGTAATTGACTACACTGAAGACTGGACTGGATGTCATTTACCATTCCACCAACAGTTTTGGTCTTTTAGATGACCTAGGGTGGACATGTTAATGCGTCTTTCTAGGATCCATTTTAGCCCATCGGTATTTTGACAAGATCTAATTTCAGATGGTAGTTGGCTCCAAAGAGTGCAATATTTAATGGTTAATGGGTTTGTCCCGATGGTTTGTTTGTGGGTGGCAAACTTTAGAAGGCAGTCATAGCTGAGCCTGTTAAAACTGGAGTGTAGCAGACAGCTGCTCTGTCTTAGTACTTGGGACCGTTCACCGTTCACGTAACTACCTTCGTTCGAACCCAGGACCTTGCGGTTAAAAGGCAAGCCATATAGAATCGAAGTCACTGTTGATGAATTAGTTGGCGCAATGTTTCATGATTGAAGTACTTAGTAGAAAGCACAACAAATTGGCTGAATATATCGAAAGTTGAATGTATTCATTTCACCTAATGAGATTAACAAATAATATAAGACTTCTAAAATACCACCAATAGCATGAATAGTGAAGTGAGCAATATTTTACTAAGGCAAACGCCTAAAATTACGATGAAAAGACACTTACCAATAATGAACACAGAGATGACTGCGTGATGGAAACTGGTTACGATGATGGAAATCATCATACTTATTTTGTGACTTGATAAATAGCGTTTAAGTGCATGGTGGATGCCACATATTTCACGGGTGTGATCTAATTTGTTGATTTTAGGTCTAGTTCTGTTTAACTACGGTTGCATGAATACAACATACTTTTCTTTGTTAGTATACTGCGATAACTCGGGCATCCATATGAGCATTGTTTACTGTGATTTGTAAGACTAGGGAGGCGTGGAAAATCCAGTTAGACACACGGAGTAGCGTTCACCATTCAAAAATCTTTACTCAGTGATTTTACCTATCCTTTTCTAAACCTTGATCATGTCAAGCTGACTACTTCTAGGAAACCAATTAGTCAGGCCTCTTAAACGACATTGGGCTCACTTCCTGTTGACTTCAAATAGAAAGGACTCCAAATACTGGCGCGTGGCCCAGCTAACATGGTTGCCAGGTTGTTAATCGCATCATCACAACTACCTAAGGGAGAACATAACACTTACGGCCACTGAAAGGTGTATTTATTTAAGGTGATTTGTCGAGAGTGTAGAGGTACGCAACCGTAACACGATGTACCTGCTGAGCTTTTTCCCAAGAAAATACAATAGTCCAAACCGTGTCTCAATCTGCACAGATAAACAAGCTGATTGCTGAAGGTTCAATTGGTTCGTATAACTTCCTTGATCTCCTGCAGTCCTACAACTGAAAAATCTATTAAACAGAGGAGGTTTTCGGATTGACCAACTATATTAGACGTGAAGTTATGATTGATGCATGCAACGACACAGAAAACTGAGTGGACAGTTTCTGTTAAATTTATTTTGTTGTACCTTCAGATTCATGGAATCAATAAGTAACTGATGGCCTATTTATAGTTTAATTTTCCACGGATTTGTAAACGATATCTATGCTTCGTATTATGAAGCATAAAAGGTGTTCTCGTTGTGGTTGTCTGAGTTAAATCTGACTTCTGTGTCTGTATCAGTTTTGGGGCTGTTTTCCTGGTGATCTGGTGGTTACAGTGTCGTGTCTGAAGGCTCATTCTAGTCAGAACAGGCAACAACAAAAATATTAACACTTAGTTACAACGGAAATACATATCAAAACAAAAGATTGATCTTCAAAATACGAGACATATTTCAAAGTTATAAGAACAAAGCCACGACGACTGCATATCTTCGGATAGTGCACGAATGACCGAACATAAATCGAGAATTTGTTGCGTCGTGTAGATACTTCAGCACCTAACAAGTCAGCTCATACAGTGTAGCTCAGCGCCTATTGGGGAGCGAAGAGTGCGGTGATCGAATAATTTTGTTGACAGAGAGCCTCTTCATTGAATTACTTGTTTTGTCTTGTATTCGCGAGTGTCATATAAGAATTATTCGCAGCCAACATAGTACGTACAATTAAAAAATTGATCAACAAAACAGGTATCTGACAAGTTACCTTCTGCATGGTTAGCTCACTTGAACATCTCAGGAGAGAATTCCAAATCGAATGTCAATCGGGCAGTAGAATGTCGAAATAGGCTCTTTTATTTCTCTCTATTATTTTGTATTCTTTAGTGAACTCCTTCTCAAACATACTTAGCTACCTAGATTATTAACATTGGCTTACTTTTGTACTTTACTGTATTCCTTCTTTTGTGTATCCACTGGTTCCGACTATATTAGCACTAAGAGTAGTACAAAATTTGCCTGTCATTATCCATCATGTAATTATTAGTTTTGTGGTTGTTTTTTCTTATTTTCTATACTTTTCGGCAATATTAAACTGACAATCATTGTTTGTGAACGCCATAGTCACCACCTTAAAATATTTTGTATTATTCAGGATTACTCACACTACCACCACAAACACTGCATTAGACCTTGGTAGACTTTGGTACTTTTTCCCATTCATGATTATTTTGTGTTTATCCTGTTTTTTTTGCTGTTGGTGTCTTCAGATTTATTTTTTGTTTGTATAACACTTATTTTAAATGTCGGTAAAATTAGATGCAAATATTGAAGATATGTGCTGAAAATTTCACACTGGACCATTAGTACTGTTTCTGGAATAAAGCAAATTATTATTATAGTGGGATTACATGCTGTGAACAGATTAAAAGAATGGTTTTGATAAAATCGTGAAATATCATTGGATACAAATTTTAAAAATGGGTAGAAGTGACAGTCAGCAATGAAGGGTACTACAGATATAACGTGTATTTATTTTTATGAAGCCCACTGTTTAATTATCTTATTCATCCAGGCGTTAGATAGGTTTTCTTCACCGAATTCATCAAAAAAGCTTTATATTTTGAATTTAAATTTTGCGCATAAATATTCAGCTAATGAGAGTAAGCAAGAATTAAAAACTAATGTTGGCTATTGTACATTTGGACTCAGTTTAACCTAGAGACTTCGTAGCCTATTCGAAAGTCGCGTCGTCAGTCAAGGTCATTGCTTGGTAGGTCTGTTTTTCTCTCTGTGCACAGATAACCATCGAATAAGGCATCTTGAAAATTTAAATCCATGAGCATACGCAGAAACTCGTCTGCTTAGCAATTTCCAATCCCCATCACTTCTTACCTCGATCTGCAGCTGTAGCATTTTCTTCAGGTCACTGCTTCCACTCTGGGCCCCGTATGGAGTTTCAGGCATATTTCCACTAAAAAAAGTCCGCTGAAAGATTTTCTTTTCCCAAATGAAGAGTGTATCTAGACCTTAAATTTACACTATTCTAATATGAAAATCATTAGCGCACTTCAGACGACGACAAATCCGGGCAAATAAGTTCCTCACGTACATGTACGCACAAGGTTTTCTGCCTGAAGTCCCTTCAGTGCGTCAGTATTTTACTCACCTCTTCCTTGCTTTTTTCGGTTACTGGAGAAAGAAAATACCTCTTGAATGTGAGTTATAGGTTCCTGATCCTCCGTAAACTTCTGCGTAGCTCGTCCCTCCAGCTCGACTGTTGTAGCTCTGCTTGACTCCAAAAGGAGTAGTGTTGGAATTAATTATATGCGGTTTGTAGAATGAGGTGTCTTAAGACTGTTACTACTGTGAATGGAATTAATCCTTTCACCAGTTGGGGTTGGGAAACCTGATCACCCTCGCCCGTGAATTAAATTCAACCATTACTTACATATTGAATCTGTGTGGTAAGTCCAGCTGTCTCGAACTACTGCCAAAGCTTCAGGTGCCACTTCTCTAGCAGCATCTTCCTCACTCGTTCAGATAAACAAGACTTGTTGGTCTACCACGTGATTGATGTGAAGCCGATCAACCAGAAAGTTACTAGGTAAAGTCGAAAACCTTTTCTTTTCCTTGTATTGCACTTTCCCAGTCTTATTCTTGTAGGTAGATACTGTTGCACTCTTATTCGTATATAGCATAAGTCACAGTGATTGTTAATTTGACTGTCGAAAGTAGCCTTAGGAAAAGCACTAAAACACCATACTCTGTAGTCACAAGGGCTTCAGCCAGAGAAGGCAAAAACCCAGGGACATCAACCCCTTCCCGCATACCGATCCTAAAGACTCGTGTAGGTCTCGTCTGTTCTGATACTACGCCTGCATTGCCACAGTCTAGTACTGAAACGGCACAGGCAATACCAGGTGGACAGGATACTACACCTGCATCCACTGAAAGCCAGTGCGTGAAACACAGCAAAACTAAAAGGAAACGCTCAAGACGTCATAAGACCTCGAAGGCGACATCAAGGAAGGGAGACAAATGTCAGGCGTGTAGTGTCATCGTTTCTAAAACTGACTCAACTTTTGAATGCAGTTTTTGCAAACGATGGGTGGACTACCGTTGTGACAAAGGGGTGCCGAAAGCATACTACGAGTTTATGAGGAATAACCCATGCCCGTGGTTTTGGTATATCTGTCCACTTTGTCGCCCTGGCACAGTCCCACACAGCGTGTCTACAGATAGCAGAAACAACACGCCACTCTTGTGTCTCAACACAGTCTTATGCAGCTCCCCACCTGCTAACACCGCTCTGCCAAAACTTGGCACAGACAGTAAGAAGGACACTGCAGTCCTACTGACAGGAAATGCCAATTTTCACAAGGTGAAGATTCACAAGGTCGCACTCACAACATCAGGGAAGATAGAATCGCCAAAGCACCACTTGCATCCACTAGCAAGCTTGGCGACACAGCAAAGGCTGGTCAAAACCTGATGAAGCCTAAATTTGCTGACGCTGCAAAGAAATACAAGTAGTCAAAGGCCAAACCTAAGTCTGAGGTCAGTCGGTCTAATTCTCTTATCCTCTTTAACGTACCTGTGAGCAAGGATAGCTTGCTTGAACAACGGGCCCTGTTTGATCGGGAACAGTGGTCCAACCTGTGCAATAAATTAGGTCTGAACATTAGTTCAGTGAAATTGTACAGGCTTTACAGGGTGTCCACACGCCTCCATTAAGGGTTACACTGGACTCTGCCGAAGAGGCCGAAAGAGTACTATTAGTGGCTCAGGTACTAGCCATCGACAGAAGTTCGAACATAAGGGTGAGACAAGACAGACCATGGGCTATCAGACAAATGGCGAGGGAGTCACCGGAACTGATGTCTTCTACCTCTATGGTGGTACACGGTGTTCCGGAGCTGGAAACCGGCACTGCTTGTGAAAAACACATACATGACGTACAGCAATAGAGATGGCTGTCATCTCAGATGTCCCTTGGCGCTTCTGGAGCCATCTCCATTTCCCGACTACCTCACCCCGCTCATCTCACACTGATTATCTCTCCAAAGCTGCAGTTGGCCATAGCACTTCAACGATGATGTGAGGCCAAGGAAAAAATGGAAGGACACATCAGATGCTGCGAAAGCAGACCCCAAACCATAAGGAGGCAGCAAACTGAGGCTTTAATTCGTCCCCAAGCTTCAGTGACACTAGAGCGATGCAGTACTGAGAACAACAGTCTGTGTCACCCAAGTGTCCTGCCGAAATTCATGGAAAAAACTACAACGGGCCGGTTCCATCGGAATCGGCCAACTAGTCCCAACATTAAGTCCCCTACCAGCAGACAGCTTCACGTCAACTACCCCACAACACACTGAGGTTGTGAGACTCACTGTCAGCTGCCTATATAGCAATGAGTGGAAAAATAGGTGAACTCCGAAATCTCCAAGCACACCTACAACTTAAAATAATCATTCTCACTGAAACGTGGCTAATCCCCACTATCGCCGATAACGAAATCAGTATAGGTGATGTGGTTCTGGTCAGGAGAGACAGGGATAATAAGGAAGGAGGGGGAGTTGCTATATACTTTGACAGGCAACTTAAATGTGTGCGCGCAACGGACCCACCACTTATTGAACTCCCAGACTCCATATGGTGTCATTTCACCGTAGGCCACACCAAGCATTTACTGGGTGGCATCTACCGATCTCCTACCTGTGGAGTAGAGCACAATCAGCTACTGCGCAGCACTATCACAGGGATACGAGACTTGGGCTATGACCAAATCACCATAGCTGGAGATTTCAATGCCCCATCACTGAACCTTGGCTCGGGGTATGCTAAGGGAAAATTTGGTCGAAATCTACTGCAAACTATTCGAAACACGGGACTGACTGAGAATGTTGGAGACGACACTAGGTGGGGCCCTAGTGGAAAGTCATCAAAACTAGACTACATTCTAATTAGTGGCCAACTACTCGTCGAAAAGGTCCAGATCATGACTCCTCTAGGAAGTAGTGACCATGCAGTCATAGGTTTCGATCTCGTTCTCCGTGAGCATTTGCAGTGGGATGTTACGCGACCATGTCTGTGTTACAGCAAGGCTGACTATGCTGAAATGCGGAGGCTCTTGTCCGACGCAGACTGGCCCTTAGCATGGGATGAGCTATCTGTGGATGAACACTGGGAAGTGGTAAAAAAGATTATTCATACAGCAATCTCGGATACCGTCCCTTTAGTCACAACACAGCCCAAAAGAAAGTCATCATGGTTAAAGAGAGGCACGCAACGTATTCTGCAAGCAAAGCGGAAGGCTTGGTTTACGTGGCGCGTATCTAAGAGTCAGATCGACCACGATGCATACCTGGAACTCAGGAACCGGTGCAACGCGAGAGTCAGGAGTGACAGGTCATTCCAGGCTAACCTTGCTAAAAAACTCCTAGTAAACCCCAAAAGCTTGTATCGATTCATGTCGGAAAGAAAACCAACCAACCAGGGGGCATGCGCCTTAGTAGGCCCAAACGGTCAATATCTCACTAGTCTGGAACATTCAGTTTAGCCTTCGCCAAACAGCTAAACAGAAATGTGGGTATTACCGTTACGGACCAAAATGGTGACACCACTGTTTCACAGGAGGAAGACCTAGTAGCTACTCCCCAAATAAACCCCGCAATAGTACTAAGGAAGCTGCAACGACTCACACCTGGGAAGTCCCCAGGTTGTGATGACATCAGGCCATCTGTTCTGAAACAGTGTGCCGAAGCTCTCTGTAGGCCTTTATGCGACTTGTTCCAACACTCAATGGATTCGGGAAAACTGCCAAGGGAGTGGAAAAGAGCCATCCTTTCTCCGATCTTCAAGAGTGGGGATGGGCAAAATGCCACTAGTTATAGACCAGTAGCTCTACTCCCAGTGGTATCAAAAGTACTGGAAAGTATTATTGACGATCACATCAAGGAATACCTCGATAGGTCTAATATACTTCATGAAGCGCAGCACGGTTTCAGGAAAGGCAGATCCTGTGTAACAAACCTAACATCAGCTTGGGACGATTGGACATCACGCTGGGATATGAATGTTCCAGTCCATGCGGTGTTCCTAGACTTAGAGAAGGCATTTGACACCGTTCACCATGACCTCCTACACAAAATAAGCCAGGCAGGTATAGGTAAGCCACTTCTGTTATGGCTAAAGGACTGCCTAGCCGAAAGGCAATTTTGCACTAAGGTCAATCGAGTCAGATCATCTTGGCACAGCTCATCATCAGGAGTGTCGTAGGGTTCTATCCTAGGACCACTGATGTTTTTGATTTTTATCAATGATCTACCATGCCGTCTAAGCTGCCCGACTCTTCTATACGCTGACAACATAAAGATATGGAGGGCGATAAAGTGTCCAGAGGACTCAGATAGGCTACAAGAAGATCTAAACCTTCTGGAAGACTGGGCGGTGGCCAGTGGCATGACTTTCAACCTGAAAAAGTGCAAAGTAGTGAAGTTACGCACCTGTAGACTGCAGAATGCAAGTTACACCCTGTGCAATGAAAGCTTGTCCTGCACAACGTCGGAACGCGACTTAGGTCTAGTTCTAACGGAAAAAATGGACACAAGCGTAAATTACACGGGGGACGTAGCGAGGGCATATGCGGTCATACACTTTACACATAGACAGTCAGGTGCACTCACTCCTGAGCTCTTTCTAAAGTTGTACAAAACATACGTCAGACCACACCTTGAGGTGCATAATATTATTGCACCCCTACTGCTTAGA